ATTTTTTTTTCAATAATTAGTTTACTAAATGTGGCAAAACCAACGTCGCTGAATGTCGCATTTTTTTGTAGTGTATGTATAATTGCATGATTTTTCGCTGTTGCTGAATGAATGTATTTATTTATTTATTTCTTATTTTTTTATATGGGCATTAGTATGAAGATTTGCATCATTTATGTTTATAAAAAAAAAATTGCAATTTGTATATTTGAAGTATGGATTGTGTTGTCTTGTATATACTTATTGTTAATTTTTATTGATGCAAATATTATGATTATGATATGAAATTGATCTGTTAAGTTATTTTCACACATTATGTCGTTGTTTGTTAGTCACCAAAGTGGCCAAACTAAAAATGTGTAGATAACATAAAAGTCTTTTATTTGTGTGCATTATGGTTATAGTTTGTTAGTCACCAAAGTGGCCAAACTAGAATGTTATCGCATGCATAAAATTTCCATTTATCCATGTACTTATGAAATACCAATTATTGAAATAAATTGGATAAATTGATGTTGCTCATTATTAGAAATGAGGGATTCACCCAAAGGTGAATCATATTCTATAATTAGTGACATTATAGGACAAATTAGTATTTTGATTAAATATGTTTTGATTATCCAAAGTAATAGATATATTTAATTATATACATATATTTGTCTATTAATGTTTTGGTATTTGCTTATGATGAGTGTATTGTAGTATCTACCCAAAGGAGTGCTACTTTGTGCTTGTATATTTTAATTTGAATCACATTTATTATTATTCATGAGCTTTGTGTATGTTATTTAAATTGCAGCTTTTTCCATGAATTCACAAGTTTCATCTGTTACTATGTTTGCTGTTGAGAATTTCTCAGAAAGGTGTGAACAAGTCAATTTTCATTTATGTGTTATGGATCTTGACTTGACACTCCTTGATAATGAACTCGCTGCTATTACTGAAACCAGTAGTGAGGAAGAGAAATCTCACCTTAAGGCATGGAATGGAAGTAACAGGATGAGCCTTATGTTCATTAAGATGAATGTTTCCAACAACTTGTAGGGATTCGTTACGATCCAAACTATAAATCCAAATGAATATCATTTTCTCTTTATGGGAAACAGAAAGAAATCTTCGATTAAAGGAATAGGGACTTATCGTCTGGTCTTAGATAGTGGCTATCTTTTAGACCTATTACACACCCTTTATGTACCTTCATTATCTAGGAACCTTATTTCAATTTCTATGTTGGATGTTAATGGTTTTAAACTTATGTTTGGATCTGGTAATTTCAATTTATATAAGAATTCTGATGTTGTTGGTTCTGGTATTCTGATTGATGGTTTATATAGATTGAAATTGAATGAGTCTTATGCTGAATCACTGCTTAATGTTGGATTTAACCGTAACAAAGAGAATAAGAATTCCGCTTTCTTGTGGCATAGAAGATTGGGCCATGTATCCAAAGAAAGAATAATGAGATTGGTGAAGAATGATATTTTTCCAAATTTAGATTCTACTGATATTGAATTATGTGTGGATTGCATTAAGAAAAAGCAAACCAAACATAATAAGAAAGATGCCACAAGAAGCACCCAGCTTCTAGAGATTATACACACTAATATTTGTGGACCTATGGACACTCCAGCTTTTAATGGAGAAAAATATTTCATTACCTTTATTGATGATTTTTCACGTTATGGTTACATCTATTTGCTTCATGAAAAAACTCAATCTATAAATGTCCTAGAGACATTCATTAAGGAGGTTGAGAGGCAGTTAGATAAAAAGGTGAAAATTGTAAGGTCAGATAGAGGTGGTGAATATTATGGTAAATATAATGAGTCAGGACAATGTCTAGGTTCATTTGCAAAATTCCTCGAAGAGCATGGCATATGTTCAAAGTATACTATGTCAGGCACACCACAACAAAATGGTGTGGCAGAAAGGCGTAACCGGACATTAATGGATATGGTCAGGAGCATGATGAGTAACTCTTCTTACCAAAAAAATTTGTGGACTTATGCGCTTAAAAGTGCGACCTACTTGCTGAATAGGATTCCTAGTAAGGCAGTTCAAAAGACTCCTTTTGAATTGTGGATAGGAAGGAAACCTAGCTTAAGGCACCTGCATGTTTGGGGTTGCCCAGATGAAGCAAGGATTTATAATCCACATGAACGAAAGTTAAACTCTTGAACGATTAGTGGATACTTTATTGGTTATCCTGAGAAGTCCAAAGGGTATGTATTTTATTGTCCGGACCATAGTCTGAGAATTATGGAAACTGGTAATGCAGGATTCATTGAGAATGGAGAAGTTAGTGGGAGTTCTAAAAGGGAAATTATGGAAATAAAGGAGACTGAGGTAAATGTTTCATTACCTATAATTGTCACTCCATCTACTAAATTCCCTAATGTTGTTCCAGTTGTTGTAGAATAAGATGACAACACTAAACAACATTTGAATGAAGAAGTACTCCCAGTAGATGCTAACTTGCAGAATGCTAATGCACAAGAATCACATGAAATAGAATTAAGAAGATCCCAAAGGGAATGTAGGCCAGCTATTTCGAATGATTATGTGGTTTACCTGCAAAAGTCAGATTATGACATTGGAATCAATAAAGATCCAGTTTCGTTTTCACAAGCCATAGAAAGTAGAGAATCCGATAAATGGATCGAAGCTATGAAAGAAGAGCTAAAATCCAAGGATCAGAATGATGTCTAGGATCTCGTCGAATTACCTGAAGGTTCCAAAAGAGTCGGTTGTAAGTGGGTCTTTAAGACGAAACATGACTCTAATGGTAATATCGAACGATATAAAGCTAGACTTGTTGCCAAGGGTTATACTCAGAAAGATGGCATTGATTATAAAGAGACATTTTCACCTGTCTCGGAAAAGGATTCATTAAAGATAATTATGGCATTCGGGGCTCATTATGATTTAGAGCTACATCAAATGGATGTGAAAATAGCCTTTCTTAATGGTGACTGATGTGCGTCTAGCATATGATGCTTTCTAACTTAAAAGAAGCAAGGAATTAATCATAAATGTGTGAAAATAAGTCATAAATACAAGAAATATTGATTATTCCTTCTCAATCATTCTCTCACTCAATTTATGTGTTTTAATAGTAGGAAACACCAAAAAAAGAAGTGAATGAGAGAAGAGCAGTTTTCCAGCTGGCGCACTTTGCGCCAAGTCCCGTGCAAAGTGCGCCATTTGATCCAATTTGTTCCTGTATCGTGGGGCACAATGCGCTAGAGGTGGCGCACAATGCGCAGGCTTGGCGCACTTTGCGCGGGACCTGGCGCAAAGTGCGCCATTTGACAGCTTTCCCTCTGTTTTCCCATGCGAATTGCGCCAGAGTTGGTGCAAAGTGCGTGGGCGATATTTTTAATTTTAATCTGATGCGAATTACTCAAAAAGGAGGCCCAATTGGAGAGCAATTGAAAGTAGGTTTTCCCAAAACCTAATAAAAGGATCAGAAACAGAGGAAGGAAAAGACTTTTGACAATAAGGAAGAGAAAAACAACAAAGAGATGGAGAATTCTTGGGAGCTTCTTGGAGTTTCACAGATTCGAACGATCAAGACGGATGATCTTCATCTTCTTCCTCTTCTTTAGGTTCTGAATTTTATTTTCTTTTATGATTATTTTGTCAGACATGAATATGTCTGGCTAGTTTTATTATTGTGGTAAGGGTCACAACCCTTGATGTGAACCCCTTGTAGTTTGATTAAATTTATATTCATCTATGTTAATTGAGTTATTTTACTTTGTTCTTCATCTTATAATTCTTATAGAATTGATCACTCTGTTAGGATTGCGAGGGTTAGGGTTTTCAATAGGGATGTTAGAACTCTAATTCCTGACATGAGGTAAGATAATTGTTCATGTATGCACTAGGGATAGGCTACATAAACCGCAAACATGAAAGATTCATTGATTCGAAGGCTTAACTTAAAAAGGGATTTCTAAGGGATTAGGATCCTAATAGGGTTAATAAGGTTAAAATTACTAAGGAATTAGGGTTTAACCAATTAAATAAAAGACAATGAATCGTTTGATCAATTGCATAATTGAATGTAAACGTGAACTCAGGTTACAAGGTGGGGATCATAAAGGTGTTGGCGTCTCTTTACCGCAATATTTTCTCAAATATTTACTCAATCTTTATTTCGTTGTTCTTAAACTTCTTTAAGAACTTTTAAATCATTTACAATTTCTTGAATAGTTCTCAATTATTTCACAAACCATAACTGTTCTCAAACCATTTTTCTTTATCCAATAAGAAATGAATAGTTATAATAAATTTGGTGCCTCAATCCTCGTGGAGACGATACTCTACTTACCCTTTTATTACTTAGAACGATCGGTACACTTGCCGATTGCGCATCAGTGACCTTGAGGAGGAAGTTTATATGGATCAACTTGAAGGGTTTTCTATGGAAAGTGAAATAAAATTAGTGTGTAAACTCAAGAGATCAGTATATGGACTTAAGCAAGCATCCCGCCAATGGTATATCAAGTTCAATACCATTATTACATCTTTTCGATTTGAGGAAAACACTGTTGATCGGTGTATTTACCAGAAGATTAGTGGGAGTAAGTTTGTTTTCTTAGTTCTTTATGTTGATGACATCTTACTTGCTGTAAATGATTTGAGTATATTGCGTGAGACTAAAGATTTTCTCTCAAAGAATTTTGAAATGAAAGATATGGGAAATGCGTCCTATGTGATTAGAATAGAAATATTCTGTGATCGATCACAAGGATTGTTGGGACTATCTCATAAAGGATATATTGAGATAATTCTAGAGAGATTTAATATGAGTAAATTCTCACCTGGAGTTGTTCCTATACATGCAATGTCCAAAGAATGATGTTGAACGAAAAGAGATGGAATCAATTCCATATGCCTCTGTTGTGGGTAGCTTAATGTATGCTCAAACCTATGCTCGGCCGGATATCATTTTTGTGGTCGGGATGTTGGGCAGATATTAAAGTAATCCAGGAATGAAACATTGGAAAGATGCAAAGAAAGTTTTAAGATACCTTCAAGGCACGAAGGATCACATCCTCATGTACAAAAGGTCCAAGGAATTAGAAGTAATTGGATATATTGATTCAGATTTTGGTGGATGTCTTGATAGTAGAAAGTCAACCTTTGGCTACTTGTTTATGTTTGCCCAAGGAGCCATATTATGGAAAAGTGCAAAACAGACTATCGTTGCTTCACCCACTATGGAGGCATAATTTGTGGCATGTTTTGAAGCCACAACTTATGCATTATGGCTGCAGAACTTTATTTCAGGGCTTGTGGTTGTCGACACCATTAGCAGGCCGCTGAAAATTACTGTGATAATTCTGCAGCAGTATTCTTCTCTAAGAACGAAAGATACTCTAAAGGTGCCAAACGTATAGAGTTAAAGTATTTTTCCTTTAAAGAGGAGGTTTAGAAATAGAGTGTCAATTATCCACATCAGAACTACACACATGATGGCAGACCCTTTGACGAAAGGGTTACAACCAAAGCTATTTAAAGAATATGCTGAAAGTATGAACCTTAGTTGTATTAAAGATTATTGATGTGTGACACTCTGAGCTCACCTATGTGTTTCTGACATACATTATGTTTTCTTGTTATTTTATGGTTGTATACACATTATGAATTTTGACAAGGAAGTCTTTGTAAGACATTATGTGGACCATTATGTTTCATATATTATGAATTTTATATGATGGATTGTTGGTGTTGTAGTATATGGAAGGGAATGTACTGAATTAATAGCGCACTACCGCCATAACTCACTTAATAATTTATCTTTTATGATGACTAACATTAGAGATGCATGTATATTAAGATTAATCGAGCCAAGTGGGAGAATGTTAGAAATATTAAGAATCAATTATAATATTAAAAGGATTTTATTATAATTATAATATTAAGATTCTTGATATTACCCAATAAACGTTATATGACCCAATTAGTTACTGATACATTTAATCTCAATCTTCTTCATTGATTTGGTATATGATGGACTTACCAGATTATAAGTTATGGAATATATATATTAGGGATGGTCCTCTCTCCCCTTCAACCCTAATGTCATTCTCTCCATCAGAATACATATCAAAGTAAAGAAGGCTTAGAGAGAGAAACTACCCCAACACAAATGCTCACAAGATGACTCCTGTTAACCCCTCATTATTTTCGGGTATGTTTTTATTTATGTGAAAATCATATATTTCCAATATCCTTTATCATGTTCTTGTTTATGATTTATGAACACGATATATTATCTACAAACTAACATTGCACTCTCTTAAAGAGTGTGGAACATAAATTTGGGAAGGAGAAAAAAGTTAGGGATTTAGGAATTAACACTATTAGTCAAAATTTCATCAATATGTTAATTTGTTACCATCACAAAGTATGAGGGTATTAATTGAAATAATTGAAAGTATAAGGTGGTAAGTTAAAACATGACCAAAGTTCAAGGAATAAGTTGTATTTTAGTGGGGGGAAAAAGACATACTCTTGCTTTTGACTTGATTACCGATCTTAATAATATAATACTGGATAGCCGTAGAATTGAGTAAATAAATAATGAAAGTGTTCAAATAGAGTAAACGTGATTTTAATATTCATTAACTCTCTAGAAACAATTAAGAGCATGTGACAATTAATACTCCAAATAAAAAACTTCCTCGAGTTTCACGGGATCTAACTTAGAGAATTAATTTTTTGCTATGTTTGATACTGCACCGTTGTACCTTAAGATTTGCGAACCCCCACGTTCTCTTCCATTTTTGCTCAAACCTCAATACCTCTCAATATTCATTGTCATTTCCAAGTTCCAATTCCAAACACAGAAGACACATCCAATGGCAGCCAAAACCTCCATTTCATGTTCCCAAAATGGTACACGTGGTCGCCCTCAATACATTCCCAACCACATTCCTGACCCATCCTATGTTCGAATCTTGGACACCACACTACGCGATGGTGAACAATCCCCAGGAGCTGCAATGATGTCCAAAGAGAAACTAGAAATTGCACGGCAGCTTGTAAAGTTGGGTGTGGACATCATTGAAGCTGGGTTCCCTTCAGCATCAAATGAAGACTTCATGGCTGTGAAAATGATAGCCGAAGAAGTTGGAAATGGTGATGTTGATGGGTATGTTCCGGTTATAGCTGGTGTTTGTAGGTGTAATAAAAAAGATATTGCTACTGCATGGGAAGCTGTGAAGTATGCTAAAAGGCCAAGGCTTAGTACCTTTATAGCAACAAGTCCCATTCACATGGAGTACAAATTGAAAAAGACTAAAGATGAGGTACTTGAAACAGCTCGGGAAATGGTCAAGTTTGCACGAAGTTTAGGTTGCAATGATGTTCAGTTCGTTGCTGAAGATGCTGCCAGGTTCAACTGCTTAAATGTCAATTTCTCTTTTATTATTTATTTATTTCTTATTAAAATAAATAGAAAAATAGAAGAGTTATGTAAATTTTTTTTCCTGCACTCACAGTTTTCATCGATAATAGTGCTTTTTTTCTTTTTTCTTTTTTAATTTGTGAGTTCCACTTAAAGTTGTATCTACAGGAAAATCATTTTGATTCATGTTACATAACTTTAAAATTTCCCATAACTTTAAAATTTCCCAAATAAATAAGGATCCAACTTGGCTCCTTCTTTAGAGTCTTAAATAAACCACCGACTAGTCCGAATATTATTGACTATAGCACAATTTTAAAATTTTTTGAACAAAAGAATTGTGCGGTTAAAGTTAATTGGATAAAGCTTTTTAAATTAATGCAGTAAAAAATGTCACTTATATTGACGGGACTATGATACTGACGGGACTCGTATCACATCAGCGCCACGTAGACAGTCTTGTTACCGTAAAATTTCGGAAGACCATAACTTTTAACTCGGGTATCCAAATCAGATGATTTTTTTTTTTGATTTCGCATAACTTTTCAAGATCTATGCAATGACATCTCATTTGACATATTTTATCTCCCCTGAACATAGTTTGAATTTGCAACAATAGTTTCACAATTATAAGATCATTTAAATTCAGAAGATCCTAATTTCTTTTTGAACCAACACTATGAGCTGTCACATGTGCCATCTTCTGGATTTAATCGCTCTTGTGATTGTGGTATAATTGTTACAAATTCAAACTATGTTTGTGGGAGATAAAATATGGCAAATGAGGTGTCATTGTGTAGATCTCAAAAAGTTATGTGAAATCAAAAAAAAATCATCTAATTTGATACCCGAATCAAATGTTATGGCCTTCCGAAGTTTTATGGTAACGAGACTGCCTACGTGACGCTGGCATGACATGAGTCCCATCAGTATCATTGACAAGACTAGTCCCGTCAGTATAAGTGACATGTTTGACTACATTAGTTTGAAAAAACTTATTCAAAGAATTTTAACTAGATAATTCTTTTGTCCAAAAATTTTAAAATATGCTTTTCTCGAATATTACTCCCTGTTTTGGATTTATCTATTCTCCATCACAATTTTCGTGGCTTTTCGGATCCTGAGCTCCTCAACTGTCTTTTATGCAGCCAGAAATTTTTGGTTACTAGTGTTGATTATATAGTTTTTTTTTTTAAAATAGTGCCTAACGTCATATATATGTATGTGTATTATTATATAGTTTATTTTAAAAAAGAGAAAATTGTCTAACGTCATGAAGTGTTCAAAACTAAATTACTTTAATTGTTATCAAAAAAAAAAAAATTTACTTTAATTAAAAAAAATTTAAAAAAGAAAATTTAGAAAATCAAAATAATTAGAGAGATGTAATATAAAATTATTAATGAGTCTTCACTTAACTGCTAAAGCTTTTAGCTGAATTGGTAAAATATATCAAAAATGCTAATTTTTTTAATGAAATTAAATCACTTTTCAGATTTAAATTTAAAAAATGTTTAAAGTCAAATGTAATCAAAATGTATATAATTTTGAAATAATTTTTTTACTGATAAATTTTATTTATATTTATTCAATAAATATATAAATAAACATTAACTTAAATTTAATTTTTTCTCTTAATTATACACCCACACAAACACACACACACACACACATATATATATATATATATATATATATATATATATATACAGTATGAAAAAAATAATTAAATCTACATTGTAAATTTATATTTTTATTTTAGTATATTTTAATGTTTTTCTAATTTAAATTTATTATATTTTTTTGAATTTTGTTTTTATTTGTATTGTATTCGATAACTTTGACGAAATATAATTCTCGTAATTTGATCGATTCTGGAGTTTCATATTTGTGCTTGGCCAAACAGGTCATCATATCGGAATTGTTCGGTATAATATTGAATCTGGTGAATATTATATACAATCTCGTTTGTTGCAATGTTCTTTCAGACACTAATATTGTGGGGTTTTTTCTTTTTCTTTTTCCGATCTACATGGGAACAGGTCGGACAGGGAGTTTCTTTATCAAATTTTTGGTGAAGTTATTAAGGCCGGGGCAACAACTGTAGACATAACTGACACTGTGGGAATAACAATGCCATTCGAATTTGGAAAACTGATTGCTGATATAAAAGCCAATACCCCTGGAATTGAAAATGTTATTATTGCGACCCATTGTCATAATGATCTTGGACTCGCTACTGCTAATACCATAGAGGTATATAAGCATAACTTTACCATTTATAAAACTAGATTGTAATTTTTAAATAGTCTTAGCTGCTTTCAGGGTGCACGTGCTGGTGCAAGGCAATTAGAAGTGACAATTAATGGGATTGGTGAAAGGGCTGGTAATGCTTCATTAGAAGAGGTGAGTATCAACCTTCTTTATGTCAATTATTTAAGACATTAATGAAGTATATATTCATGTGAAGTGTGAAGTTTAGGGTTGTAAAGAACCTTGGGATACACGTGTCCAAGGTCTTATAAAGGTCATATTAGTTGCCCATCCAATCAATGTGGGAACACGTCCCCTCATGCAAAAGCTTTTTTAGGCTAGAAACGTGGAAATTCCACAGGCTCATTTTTGGTTTACTTTTTGTGCTTTTTTTATTTTATTTTAATTCTACTTTTTAAATCTTGGGATACACCACCCAAAAGCTAGTTCAAAGGGTGGGAGTGCCCAAGGCCTTATAAAGGCCATATTAGTTGTTCATCCAATCAATGTGGGACTATATATCTCAACAAAGGTAATGAGTTCAATTACTAGGAAATGTGAAGAAGTTCGAACACGAAATCAGAATAATCGGATTCATGAGAGTCTTGGACATCTTAAAAAATTTCATCTAAGTTCCATTATCTTTAAATAATCTGACAATAGTTTCTTCTACTGCTCAGATTTATTGGGGGATGACAAGATAAAATATAGTTTCAATTTACATTTGTTCAGACAATATAAGGAGAAAACATTCTTATTGGCAGATGTCATTGTATTCTATTGTATTACAAATATCATATGAATAATGAACGTGTCACCGCTTTTTTGCTTTCATTCTTTAATATATCTCCTTACTAAAACTATTATAAAAAAAATCTCTGTTTTTGCGTAAATAGAATATATATAAACTCACTACTTGCTGCATTATTTGCAATGGTTACTTCTGTGGTCATTGAATATTAAATTATGCTCTTATTCATTGAATTTCTTTTCCCTTAATATTTTATCACTCATATTTTTTATTTTATTTTTTCATTCAAGGTTGTGATGGCCCTGAGATGCAGGGGAGATCATGTCTTAGGCGGGCTGTATACAAGAATTAATACGAGGCACATAATAAAGACAAGCAAAATGGTTTTATATTTGAAACTATTACTTGCTTTTGGAATTATTTCATACTCTGGGTTACCTTTGTTCACGTTTTCATAATCTTTATCAATAGGTGGAAGAGTGCTCTGGTTTGCATTTACAGCCACACAAGGCTCTTGTGGGTGCTAATGCCTTTCTTCATGAAAGTGGCATTCATCAGGTTGGTGGTGTTAAACTTTCGTGCTATGAATTTTTATCTTGCATGCTTCAATTTTACTATTATGTTATTGATAAAATGGAACAAGTCTTAGTAGACACTTGAATGTACTGACCAAGATTTATAATAAGTTGAATAATTTGTGCTTCTTTTTTATTAATTTTCGAAATTTGAAGCTGGCTGCCGTAAGTAGATCTCTACATATAGCCATGCATGCATTGCGAGACTGACTTGTTATTTAAGCCATTAGATATTGGCTGGTGAGGAGTTTGAATAATTTTTATGAGATTATAGATCATTGTAATAGAAAGGAAAAAAAAAAAAACCTTGCTTATGTTCTTTAGACCTATTGCCTTGCTATTTGGTATTTGTTTTTGAAATAAGACTATTATTTATTTCTGTGGCATCTAAAACAATATTCTTATTTGTAGCTGGTTTTTTTAACTTTTAGCTAATATGTTGATTTCAGTGAAATATTGCTTTCATTCTTTCCCGAAAACCGTTAACTATTACAAATATTTTGCATATTTGTAAAATTACTTACAAATCTCTCGGTGACACGGTCACTCAAATAGTCAAATCGCGAAAACAATGTTACCGGTCGGGACCACTAGGGGTGTAAATGGGCTGGGCTGGGCTGGGCTTTGCCATCCTGGCCCAAGCCTACGTCAAAAAAAATTCGGCCTATCTGGCCTACTGGTCTATTAAAGGCTTTATTTGTAGGCCAAGTCTGGCCCATTTTAAAAAATAAGAAAGCCTGACATGGCCTACAGGCCTTGTAGGCCTCCCACTATATATACTAAGCAAAAAAAATAATTGTATAGAGCAAAGAAAATTCCATTCATGCATGCACTAGTAAGTCATATGAAAAAAATGACAAACAAGAAAGAGTCAACATAATACCTCAGCTCTAGAATGTATATCATAGAGGAATAGAGTCAAAAAAATGAGAAAAATAAGAAAAATATAATTACTGGATGCTGAAATAAAGTCTACAAGAGAATGTCATTCATCTAAATATCTTTAAACCACCATCAAGACAAGGGAAAGAAGAGTATTATTGAAAGATCTTCATCAGTAACATCATAATCCAGCAAAGTACCAATTGCTCCATGGTATTAAGCTGCAACATCATGTAAAATTTGGAGACATTAGACAAGTTTTCCTTTCATAAAATAAAATAGCACAAAAAGTAAGAGATATTGGTATTTGGTACTTTGTGTCTTTGCCACATAAAATAAATATTATTTTATTATTTTATTTTATTAATTAAATAGGCCAGCCTACAAGGCTGTAGGCCGGGCTTGACAAAATTGGCCTATGGCCTATTTACTAAAAAAGCTTTTTTATAAGCCTAAGCCTATTCTACTTTTCTGAAAGACCAGGCCTGGGCTGGGCTCAATGTAGGTCGGGCCGTAGGCTAGGCTGGGCCAGCCTGGCCCATTTACACCCCTAGGGACCACTATAAAAATATGGTCAGACTCACTTGCTAACCAATCCGTCAAACAAGTAACCAGAAGTCATCTTCATTCAGAATTGCAGCAAACATAGAAAGCAAAATAAAAATTGCAGAAATAGAGACAAAAGTAGAAGAAGAAGAACACACTCAACTTTAAACGTGGAAAATCTTCTTCAACAGAAGAAGTAGAAACCACATTACATTAGTTCGGATCAAACTTTTACTATGAAAATAATGAGTTACAAGAAATCAAATCTTTTTAAAATCACCAGAGGAAACTCTCAAGTATCATCTATAATGGTGGTATTTTTTTCAAACGTCTCCAAAGAGGTCTCTCACTTTAACTTCTCTTCAGAGGTTATAAAAAAACTCTCTTCAAATGGTCTTCTCGACCTATACATGTGGGAAAAACCCTCCCCTTCTTTTGTCTTCATTGAAGAGAAGCATTTATTAGGATGATTGAGATAATAAATATCGAGCCTTGCACCCTAATAGGTGGCCTCTCACTTCCTCCAACCCGCAGCACTAAATGGAGGAATAATGTAATGCATCCCAACAAATCTCTCTCTTCCGACTTTTAATGTGTCTGGTCTTTAGTTTTGTCGGCTGGTACTCAGCAGCCCGAAACCTTCATAGCAAGCTTCAAATGTCTTTATATTGACTAGCTTTGTCATCTTATCAGCCCGGTTCTGGTTGGTATGAATTTAGTAAGTTCAAGATGCTTATCTTCTATCACTTTCCGGATCTAATAATACATCATATCAATATTCTTTGATCAGGTGTGATAGTTTGAATTTTTCGCCAGGTGAATGGTACTCTGGTTGTCTCACTTCAGCTCATGTTTTTCTTGCTCATGACCGAGTTAAAGGAGAAATTTCATCATCCACGTCATCTCCTTGCTGGCTTCAGTAGCAACAATATATTCAACCTCGATCATTGAAAGTACAACGCACTTTTTCAATTTCAATTGCCAAGAGACAACTCTTCCAGTAAAAGTCAGTAGGTATCCAGTCGTCGACTTCCTTAAGTCGGAATGTCCCCCTAGATTGACATCTTTAAAGCCTTCCAACTCAGCCTTACCTTCACCAAATCGGAGGCATAAATTGGTCGTTCCTTTTAGATACTTGAAGATCCATTTCACAGCTTCTTAGTGTTTCCGGTCGGGATTGGATAGATACACAATGACAACTCCAATAGCATATGCCAGGTCCGATCCGTGTAGATGAAACTTCCTATTGACGATTGGTATAGGATCTTTAGCATCTCTTCTTTCTCTTCATTTGATCTCGGGCATTGTTTCTGATTCAGCTTTATGTGTCCGGCCAGGGAAGTGCTAACTGTCTCGGCTTGGTCCATGCTGAATCTCTTTAACATCTTCTCAATATATTTCTCTTGGGACAGTCACAATAGCTTTCTTTGTCAATCTATTATAATCTTGATCACAAGAATCTGCTTTGCAGGGCCAAGATCCTCCTTTGAGAAAGATGAGTTCAACGCCCTAAACCAACTATCTTCTTCTTATACTGCCCAACAATTAGCATATCATCAACATACAGAAGTAAAATTAAAAAATCTCCAGCCTCGTACCTCTTCACAAAAACACAGTGGTTGGCTTCTGTCTTCATGAAATTGGGCTCAGTCATGAACGACTCAAATTTCTTATACCACCGCTGAGGGGTTGTTTCAAGCCATACACGTTCTTCTTCAAACATCAAACCTAGTCTTTTTTACCAGCCACTCGAAGCCCTTTAGGTTGTTCCATGTATATCTTTTCATCCAGGTTGCCATAAAGAAATGCAGTCTTCATGTTCATCTGCTTAACTTCCAAGTACATTGAGGCTGCTATTGCTAATACCGCCCGGACAGGGGTCATCTTGATGACTGGTGAGAATATTTCATCAAAATCTATTCCATTCTTTTGGTTGCAGCCTTTCACTGCAATCCTTGACTTGTATCTAGGCCTCTATCTGGCTGCCTCCTACTTGATCTTGTATATCCACTTGTTCTTCAATACATGTTCCTCTTGAGTTGTTCAGTCAATTCATAAGTTTCATTTTTAAGCAAGAACTTCATCTCGTCCTTCATAGCCTTTTCCCATTTATTTTTGTCATTAGATGAAATGGCTTCTTCATAACTTTATGGCTCACCCTCTTCTGCCACCACAATGTACTCATCACGTGGTATCTGGTGGACGGTCTCCTCACTCTAGTAGAGTGTCTTGTTTCGGTTGATCAGTATGATGATCTTGCTCTACATTCTCATTATGGACCTCTTGTTGATCGGCATCTCCATACTATTTGTCTTCCTCATTAGCGCTCGTTAGGTCATGATCTTCTTGTACATTCCGGTTAGTATCCTCATTAGTCATTTCTTCCCTTGTTTCTGCCCAGACAGGAGGGATGAAGTCTCCACGTTCACGCCGGTTGGCAACATAAACCTTGGACTTCGAGATGTCTTTGATGATCGCATCTTCATGGTAAAACATATCTCGGCTTTTTACAACCTTCCTTCCAACCGGATCCCAAAGTCTGTATCCGAATTCATATCTTGGCGAACCAATATATATATATATACACTCTTTTGTCTTGGCGTCAAGCTTCGCCTTTTCATCATTTAGAATATGCATGAACGCCCGACAACCAAACACCTTCAGGTGGTTATAAATTTCTTTCCACTCGGTCCATACTTCTTCAGGGATTTCACCTTCTAGCATTCCAGATGGTGACAAATTAATCAAATCAACAATAGTTCGAAATGCTTCACCCCAGAATTTCCTTGGTAGCTCAGCATATGACAACATGCATATGAACTTCTCTTCAATCATCATGTTTATTTTCTTAGCAACCCCATTCAGCTGAGGAGTCTTGGGGGTGTTTTCTTAAGTCTTATACCTACCCCACGACAATAAGCTTCAAACGGTCCACAATATTCTCCCTCATTAGCCGATCGGACAACTTCCAGTTTATGCCCGATCTCTCTTTCAACAATAACATGAAATTATTTAAAGAACAGAGAACCTGGTCTTTGGTGTTCAACAGATATACCCACACTTTGCGAGAATGATCAATAATAAATGAGATGAAATAGTGAGATCCACCGAGAGATCTCTCTATGATGGAGTAGACGTCAGTATGGATGAGGTCAAGAATATACATGTGTTTCCTAGGTTATGGCGGTTAGATAAAAGAAACTTTGTGCTGCTTTCCAGCAAGGCAATACATGCAGCTCTCTAGCACATGCCTATTCTTACCGGTAATTTGTTCTTGTCATCCAGAGAACAAGCCTTTCTTGTTCAAATTTTGAATGTTTTTTCCACTCATATGGCCAAGTCTCTTCTTCCGCAGCTCTATGTTTGCTTCATTCGCCCGAATTGCATTATCCTATCCTTCATTAATTTTCCCATGTATCACGTACAAGGAGCCTTCCTTCTTTCTTTGGGCAACCACCAAGTTACCCTTGGTCAGTTTTCATCTTCCACTGCCAAAGTAGTTTACTAATCCGACATCATCAAGCTTTTCGGCCGAGATTAGGTTCAATCTCATATCAAGCACATGCCTGACCTCCTTCAAAACGAGTCGGTAGCCAACATCAGTGGTTAGTGTTACTTCGCCTGCTCCAACAATCTTACTCATGACTTAGTTACCCATCTTCATAAATCTAAAGTCACCACTTCTGTAATTAGAAAAGAAGCTCTTGTGTGCGGTGGTGTGGAAGGATGCACCAGAGTTAACTATCCACACACAATCATCATATGCAACATTCAGGAAATCTTCACCAAGAAGAAACACATCGACATCAGTGTTCGTCATTGTAGTGGTGCTTTTATCTTCCTTCTTCTTGGGCACAATTTGGTATGATTTTATATTGCCGCTCTGCTGATCCTTTTTCAGAGTTCGGCAATCAGGTTTCTTGTGCTTGGCTTCACACATCAGAAGCATGTCAGCTTAAATTTAGGCCTTGACTAGCCTTTGTATTTATCCCGATCTGTATTATCAGAGTCTTGCCACGTCGTTGGGTCTTTTCTTTTCCTTCAGCAACATTTGCATCACATGTGCTAGAAATTCGTCTCTCCTTTCTTAGGGACTCCTCGTTCAAGAAGCTACCAGTCACAACATCCAGAGCCAACTTTCCTTCTGGAGTTGAGTTACTCAAAGTCACAACCAAGGTATCTTAACTCTCTGGTAGTGAGTTGTAGAGTAAAAGAGCTTGAAGCTCATCATCTATCTTCTTCTCAGTCTTCGACAACTAATTCACAACGCCCTTGAACGTGTTTATGTGCTCTGTTATACTTGTTCCATCCTTGTATTCAAGCTTTACAAGACGACGAACTAGGTATGCTTTGTTCCTGAGAGCCTTCTTCTGAATCATGGACTCTAGCTTCATCCATAACTCATGGGCATTGGTGAACTCTGCAACATCCTCAAAAAGACTTTTGTCGATGTATTTTCGGATGGTGGCCACTACCTTCCTGTTTAGAATCTCTCATTCCTTCTCATTCTTTCCTTCCGGCCTATTGGCACTCAGGATAGGCTCATACAGGTTTTTGCAATACTGGTGGTCCTCTATCCAATATGTAAAATTATCAACTGTCAACTTGAACATATCTCCGTCGTGAGAAATGCTGCCACTGGTCTCCATCTTTTCTCTCTCATAACCCTTTATGATCGGGCTCTGATACCACTGTTGTGACACAGTCATTCAAATAGTCAAATCGCGGAAGTAGTGTAGCCGATCGGCAACCATTATAACAAAATGGTCGGACTCACTTGCTAACTAGTTGGTCAAACAAGTAACCTAAAGTTGTCTTCTTCAATCCTAATCCCAGCAAACATAGAAAGCAAAAAAATTGCAGAAATTGAGGCGAGAGTAGAAGAAGAAGAAGAACACACACTGAAATTTTAACGTGGAAAACCTTCTTCAATGCGAAGAAGTAAAAGCCACGAAACAATAATCTAGATCAAACTTCCATTATGAGAATGGTTTTCTCAAACCTCACCTACAATGGTTGCAAGAAATCAAATCTTTCTAGAATCGCTAGAGGAAACTCTCAAACCTCACCTACAATGATGATTTTTCTCTCAAACGTCTCCATAGAGGTCTCTAACTCTAACTTCTCTTCAGAGGTTAAAAAAAAACTATCTTCGAACAATCATCTCGACCCTATATAATTATGGAAAAACCATTACCCTGTTTTTTGTCTTCATTAATGAGAAGCATTCATTAGAATGGGTGAGATAATAAATATCGAGCCTTGCACGCTGATATGCGGTACATGCTCACTGCCTTCCAGCTACAACATTAAATGGAGGATTGCTTAAATCATATAAATCTTTCTTTTGCATGTGAATTTATTAGCGGGCATCAATGCATTTCATTGGATTTGTTATCCTAGCTATATTTGATTGTTATTTTGGAATAGGGAAAGACACATTTGACTACAAAAAAGAAAAAACTTTCAAAATTCATTCAAACAGCTAGCACTTGTATGACTCAATTAAATTCATAAAAGAATTTTGTTTTGATTCCTTTTACATATTTGTTTTTCTTCAAGTGAAATGTAGTCAATCTTTTCAATTTTTTATTTTTTAGTGGCGCATGGTTTTTTCTCTGTTTTTGGGACTAATGCATGTTAATTTTTTAGCTGGCTTAGTTCTAAGCCCACATGAAAGTAGTCCTTTTAATTTGTCCCTTTTTATTTCTCTCTATTTTTTCTTCTTTATAGGATGGAATGTTAAAACACAGAGGTACTTACGAAATTATATCTCCTGAGGACATCGGTCTTGAAAGATCCACTGGAGCTGGTATTGTACTCGGGAAGCTTAGGTATGCCATCTTTTTTTTTCTCAAAATTCTTATTTTCGGTTGGTGAGTACATTGTAACGTAGGAATCCATAGTATAAGATAATAGGAAAATGCCTCATATAAAACTCTTTTCCTATCAAGTCTTTTTACATTAAATGTATAAATGAGAATATTGTATTAAAAGTATCTATGATGACAAATTTACCTATTACACAAAATTTAAAAATATTGCTATCAAATCCTATATCCTCAACCCCTTCCATCAAAGAAATGCAACAACTAATTTATTTTATTTTTTCTTTTATAAAAAAACAAAAAATGACAAATTGATCAAGTCTTTCTTATCTAAAATACTTATTATTCTACATTTAATTCTTCTCATGAATTCTCAAAATACTTTGACATAGACTAGAAAAATATATATTCTATTCTCATTAACTGATAATAATTAAAAAAACCAATAAAAAAATTAAAAAAGGAAAAATAAGAGAGAAATAAAGTATGCAAAAAACAAGTGAACTTGGGAAAAATGACGTCGTCATTATTATATATTGTTTTGGGTCTAAGTAGATTTGTTTTCTAGTGCTATTTGCAAGTGGTTGATGGCTCTAGGTTGTGAAAGATATGTTTATTTTCATGTGGGTATGGTTGATTTCTTGATTCCGGCACGTAATATTGTTGCTTCATGCTGGGTGATGTGCTTAGCAGATGCAATTTAGTGAGGTAGAAGAGTGGTCATGGTGGTGGTGGAGTGCAACCATGATGGTATAAAAGAGAGTTGGGGTAGGAATGAGATAGAAATGTTAGTTGTTCTTTGTCTTGAGGCAAAAGAGTGGACACTGATATCTAAGTTATAATATGATAAAAGAATGTTACTAAACAATGAAGTAGGAGTACATTTAAAAAAAATTAAAATAAAATTGGTGTACCAAAAACTTAATACAATCCACTACTTAAAATCTAATAGTATTACACTTTCAAAGTTTGCGAGCACAAACAACCCGAGCGGTAATCCAACAGAATATTCTGAAGCCTCGTTGAACCCATCTTGGCTTACCTAGAAAAGGGAGAGCAACTTGTTGAGACCTTGGAGGCCAATAAACTAAACAAATAATCATCTTGGTACTCATTGGACGCACAATTATACCGCAAGAGATTTTACTCACCTGTGTTAAAATACCTGAACTCGGAGAAAGCTAAGTACATCCTTGTCGAGATCCGTGAAGGAATCAACGAACACCTCTTAGGGGAGAAGTCCATAACTCAGAAAGCTCTCCGTTTGGTTATTACTGGCCAACCATGGAGGTCAACGCTAAGGCATATGTTTAAAAGTGCGACAAGTGCCAAAGGAATGTCGAAATTCACCATGCCTCACCTGAAGAGCTGAGCACAATCACAATACCATGGTCGTCTTATAAGTGCGATAAGAATATCTTAGGGTTGTTTAGGTTGCAGAGGGACAATTAAGGCAACTTATCATTGCAGTGGAGTATCTCACCAAGTGGATTGAAAGATGAATCACTTACAACTATTACATCATCCCAAGTTCAGAAGTTCATCCAACAAACATCGTTTACGCTCTGGCATTCTGACTAAAGTGATCACTGGCAATTATACTCAGTTCACCAACAAAATTTTTTAGGAGTTAACGATCGACCTTTAAATCTAGCACCATTTTGTTTCAGTGCAGACCAACGGGAAAATAAATAAAACGTCAATACTGACAAAGTACTCAGAGAACACTAAAGGGATCTGAGTCAACCATCTTCACTACGTACTTTTGGGATACAGGACGACCTACCAGTGTACAATTGGGAGACGCCTTTCAAGCTAACCTACGACTGTGAGGCCGTGATACCTGACATGGTAAGTGTTCGTGCATAAGACTCAATTTTCGCTTAACCTTTCTGGAAAACAACCAATAAACCCAAAAAAGGATGGAAAAGAACCAAAGGAATTGTTGAAAAACAACTAACTACCAACAATAATGATATAAGAGGATGTTTGCAAAGGTACCTGGATTTTTGCGAAAAGAAGATGTTTGACTTGTTGCAGACAAGAAGTAGTCTTTCACTCTCTCAAACTTCCCTGAATAGCAACAAACATAAAGCAAAGTGAGACTTTCACGACCTAAAATGCAATAATCTTAGGAAGATGAAAGAAAGAGTCTAGATGCAAACACGAAGAAGAGTCTGGAAAACCCTAACAAAAATGAAAAGTGAGAAAGGAAAGGAAATGGTATAGGCACAAAGTAAAAAAATCTTGGTGAAAAAAAAAAGAATTTCAAAGGGGGCAAACTTCCTATAGCAGGTCTGTCGTTGCAGCCAATCATGAGGCATGCAACACGAAGGCTGCCCATGATCTCCAACGTACTTTCGTTGAGCAAAAACATGACAAGTAGTAATCGTCAAAGGAAGCGAAGAAAGCCAATGGTCAGTTGTGATAGGACGACCTCAACACGTTGACACCTTCAAGTCGGCCTTTCAAATTACTTGAGACGGAGTCCAGAAAATCAACATTCAACCAGGCACGCTAACCTAGGAAGTGCCTTGTGGCCTAGACTTTATCATAAGCCTATCTATGAAACTTACCAAACCCAAGAGCTCGCCCATTGCTCACGAGCTCACCCATCACAGGATAACATATTATACAATAGGTCGTCAAATGAGGCCTCCAAGCAAGCACCTTAGACTTAAAGCCAAGGCCCAATGAAGCATCATAACAGCCCAATAGTCCGAACTTTCAAACTGCTGAGCTAGGGGGCAACTGTTCTGAACCCAATCCATAGGTCCCACGCCATCTACTAATAAGTTCCTAGTAATAGACAAGGAGTACCAAACAATTCAAATACTAAGGGAATAAGATCTATCATCTTATCCATAAACAATATGACACACACTCAAACTCTTACACGATCACCCTATAGGTAACTTGATCTATAAATAGTGGTTAAGCATCTTAGGTGCACACGTTCTGAACTCTACTCTCTTAGTTGTATTAGGCTGTGCATGAGGAGCACATGGCGGGGAGAGATCGCCAACCATGGGCCAAGTAAACAACTACATTAAATGGGCTTGGAACACCACAATCAAATCCAAAAACCTTAAGGCATTAGGTGCATGGATCCTTCCACTTAAATGGTGCTCCCTTAGTCCATTCTTGACTAATGTGTGACATTTTCACTAAATCATTCACACTTGGATTCTTCAACACCTCCCCATCAAGTGAGTCCTAGGCCCACATTCTTCCCCCCTCAAGAAGAAGCTTCTTCGAGTATTCATGAGATTCATCAATATTTGGCTTCTCATCAAACATTGGCTCTTTCATCAAGGCTTGTATGGCTACACTCATAAAAATCTTGACTTCCCACATCAAGACATACTCGGATCACCACAGGCCAATCCATCATTATCTTTGATACCAATTGTTAGGACGTGCAGGGGGAGCTCATGACAGGGAGAGACCACCAACCATGGGCCAAGTGAGCAACTACATTAAGTGTGTTTGGAACACCACAATCAAACTCAAATATCTTAAGGCATTAGGTGCATGGGTCCTTCCTCTTATATGGTGCTTATTTAATCCATTCTTAACTAATGTGAGACTTTTTCACTCGATGATTCACACTTAGATTCTTCAACAAGTTGTCATATGCACACCCCTCAGATCCTTCGTTCTTGAGCCTTTTGTGCATAGTGAGTTGTCACCTCTTACGGCTTCTCTCCCATAAACTCCAGTGAGCGTACAAATGACATATTAATTACAACCACACAATCTACATTCACGGGCCTCTTGAATCGATCCATGTCTAATAAGTTTCTTCCATACTTGAAAGCCGTGGAGGACATATAACATATATTACAAATACTTCTACAGTAAATTAGGAATGCTATATTTTACTTCAAAATTACTCTTAGTGTCAGATGTTTAATTCATTTGCTGCTTTAATTTGTAAAAGAAGTTAAGATTTCTCATGGCATTAGATATTCGAGCATTGGTTGGCTGATAATTAAAGTGCGACTAATGCTAGAGCTGGGGTGTCTAATTTAATCCACAATATAGCTTTTTAACTTTGTATACGATTGTTTATATGTGTCAGTGTTGACTGACGTGGCTTTTTATTTTTGTTACTTGTAATTTGGTTATTGTTATTTCATTATTCTTGTATCTGTATTTTCTCCCCTCCATTTACACTTTTTCACCATCTGATCCAGTGGACGCCAAGCTTTGAGAAAGCGACTTGAAGAGGTATACAAATATTTCATTTGAAGTCGAAGGCATATTGAATGTTTTCCTTTGTTTCATGAGTTATTCTTTTCTATTTCAGCTTGGTTATGAACTTAAGGATGATGAAGTTGAGCGTGTCTTTTGGCAATTCAAATCAGTTGCTGAGAAAAAAAAGGTTATGAACTAGTATTTCTTTTTTCGTATCCTTCCCTTTCAAGCGTGAATATAATAAACAGTTAGATATATCTAGCATTGACTTTGTCACCTAGTGGGGCCTAATGGCTTTTTCACCTTTTTACCCCTTATTAATTAATTAATAACCATTTTGCCCCTGATTCGAAACTATTTATCAATCTGCCCCTCTTTAGTCGACTACCTTGCATTTTTAATCGACTAAATGACCAAAACAGACAAAAAATGACTGCTGGGAGATTTAGTCGACTAAATCTTCATATTTTACAAAAAAAAAAAATAAGCCAGTATGATTTTAATCGATTAAGTAGAGATTTAGTCGATTAAATCTCCCAACAACCGTTTAGTCGATTAAAAATGTAAGGTAGTCGATTAAAGAGGGGCAGATTGGTAGATAGTTTCGAATCAGGGACAAAATGATTATTAATTAATTAATAAGGGGCAAAAGGGTGAAAAAGCCAGGGCCTAATGCTATTTGATGTTTAAATCGAACTATAAATTGGCTAGTAATATTGATTGGTTGAGACATTAGCTAAAACATACCCGTGCAGGAAATAATATCGATTGTGTCAGGAAGAAAACCAATAAACCAATAAAGGTCGTGAAAGTGATGGAATTACTAAAGAAATAAAATAGAAAAAGAAAAACAGCTAGATGGGTTAAGAATTAGAGCTTCAATCAATGTCAATAAGTGCAATCCTTTTCAAATTTTGGTGGTCCTGGTTTTCCTTATATTTGTACATATCCTTTTCCTAGATATGCATGATAATTCTATTTTCTTTTCTCGTCTTCCACACTCAAGCTCTTCATATATCTTAGAGCTATAAAGTATTTGCTAGTCTCTTTCATTTAGGTGTGTCAAAATACATGGGCTCGCTAGTTGCATGAACTAAGGCGAATATAATGGGTCAGTCTAAATAATTTCTTAATCAAATTGAAATTTTAAGTGATGTTAGACACGGATATTCTACCAGCATCAAAGAAGATCCCAACTTCTTTGAAGATTTTTAAGAGGGATCATATATTACTCATCAATAAAATTCTCATATCGGTCAATGGGGTTTGAACCCACGCCTTTATAGGGTAAAATTATTTGACAAACTATCTCCATTTTGACTGGTTGGGGATACAATTAGAGCATCTAGCCAATTGGAGAATCGAGTAAATATCTTTAATTGATGGAATGGTGTCGGAATTGCATCTTCTAATTTTTTTCATCTATTTCTACAAGCTTGGCACTCATACGAAGACCACGCTAATACATACATGGGTTTTGCAACCTAATTTTATAGAATAAGAAGTTAAGTTTTATTGAGGAAGCTCTACCTCAATCATACAAGTGCAAAGGCTAATTCTTATTCGATCATTTTTTCATTCCATATAATAAAAATTTAAATAGACATAATACAAATTTAAATTACTAACCATCCACTAAAATAACTATAGAGAAATAGAACAATCCATAAAACAATACACTAACAAATCTACACACTAACATATCCCTAACATAAACTCTATATGCACTTTGGTGCATGTTTATCAAAATGTATGTTTATAGAACAGAGATTGTAGAACAGGCTATGTTTATCAAACTCTACATTGATTAATTGTATTCTCATGATTTCTATGCATCCATTCTGTTCATTCTCCAAAATACTTTCTTTCAATCGTCTAACATCAATGTTTGGTGTCCTCAGAGAGTTACTGATGCTGATCTTAAAGCATTGGTATCAGATGAAGTTTTTCATGCAGAACCCATCTGGAAGCTTGCTGATTTGCAGGTTAATTGGAATATGCTAAATTTGAAATAGAGCTTGGTGTAATGGCTTGACATAACAATACAAGAAAAAACACAAATTAATGATCAATTAAAATCTATCAATGCAGGTAACTTGTGGAACTATGGGCCTCTCAACAGCAACTGTCAAACTTGTTTCTATTGATGGTAGCACGAATGTTGCTTGTTCTGTTGGCACAGGACCAGTGGATTCAGCTTACAAGGCTGTTAATCTCATTGTCAAGGTTTGAAGTTCAATAAGTGCTTTGTTGCTTGCTATCGGTTCCTTTTGTTTTTGACATTTATCAGATACCTCTTAGCATGTATAAGCATTTAGCATTTTAACCCTCTATGCGGTTTGGTATCTTTTGTATCCTTTAGCAATCCAATGGTATTTAAAGAATCACCTTTCAAAAAGTATAATGTTTTAAGGTTTTAATTTTTGTTTCCCTTCTGCTTGAGATTGTTGTTTTCATAGAAAAAATAAAGGTTATCTATTTAAAGCCTATTTGGAGCACCTGATAAAGAAGATAGGATAGAATAACTTATCATATTCTACTTTTATCTCTTATTTGGTGGGTCAATAGGATATGATTAGTTTATCCTATTGTCTTATTTTATCCTATTCAATACATGATTTCTTATCTTATTGGGGAAGCTGGGTTAGGATTTAACAGGATAAGATACCAATATTGGCTACCCAATATATCCTCACGCTACCCAATATATCCCTACGCTACCCATTATATTTGTATTTATTGCATTATATTTTGTTTTTTTTTTCTCCTTTCTCCTTCTACATAATCTTATCAGATTGCTAATCAGGTGCTCATCAAACATAGGACATGCTATAGGCTTATCCTACCCTTATCAGCCCCATATCATATCCTACTCTTATCCTATCTTATCCACCAAACGAGCACCTAAAGGTCCTTTTTAAATCAAAATGTTATCAATCCTAATTATATTTAAGCAAAAATTTGAGAATGTAAAATCATTTTCTAGACTTCAAAGTTCTCATAGTGCTAAAAATCATCATACAGGGAAGTTTCTTGGATTGTCAATTATAAAATTTTCCAGATTAATAACTTGGATCTGCATATTTATCGTGATTATGCTGCAATGGTCAGCACTTCTAATATGATAGAGGAATTTATACTATCTTATGTAGGAACCTGCAAAACTTCTTGAGTACTCACTGATTCCAGTCACAGAAGGCATTGATGCAATTGCCGTTACACGTGTTGTAATTCGCAGGGAGAACAACAATACATCTACTCATGCTTCTAACGGGGAAACTGTTTATCCAACATTTAGGTAATCCAAAAGTTGATTGCTTAGTCTAAGACTTAATGATATTATATTTTTGTAAATTACTTTTTTTTTTAATTTGTGAGAAAAGAATTAAAATTGTTTTTAGAGAGTTTTTACATTTTTTTAACTTATCTAATTATTATTAAGTTTTTAAATATTTTCCAATTAAAAAGCATTTTTGTTTTCTTATAAAAACACAAACGACAAGTCTATAATGTTCTTTCCAATCTTATCATGGACATATCTAATGTTTTATTTTTCTGACAGTGGGACCGGAGCAGAAGTGGATGTTGTTGTTTCTAGTGTTGAGGCTTATGTTGCTGCAATAAACAAGATGTTAGGTTTCAAGGAATCGATTATATCTGAAAGAATTCCAATTTCCGAATGAAGGAGCTCAGAATTGGTGATTTCTTGGTCACTGTTGAAATAAGAAGCGAATATTCAAGAATGATAGCGCGAATTTCGTACTTTATGGACTAATCATGCACCGATAAAAAATAGCCTCGAAAATGTCTCTTTTAAAATATTTAGACTTCATATATTAATTCAAATTGATGATTATAATACTCATATTGAATTTGATGATGTTTGAGAAATAGTCACTAAAAAATTCAGGCTGTACCGTAGGTGTACATAAGATGTGTCCCATGGAAGGTGAAGTATATTGATATAGCGGTATCCATAGTGACAATGGTAGAGACCAAGGTTCTAATAGAGCTTCTTATGGTGCATAAGGGGGTTGTGTGTGCTCTACCAAATGGCAGAGTGACAGCGTAGGTAGAAGATGGAGAAGAAGGTCCCCACTCCATGTGTGAGAGGGGTATTAAGAAAGGAGAGTCCTCTCTTGCATGGGAGCTTGAGTTGGTCAGCCCAAGAGCTGTCTCATCAAGCTGCCCCCTATCAGTGTACAGGGGCAGCAGTGCAGGATGGGGAATGACCTAGTGGTGAGCCTCTAGATTGTGGGCTTTGAGAGATTGGGCCCATCTGGTAGGCCTGATGTAAATTATATTTATGAATTTTTGACGGAATTCGAATTCCGTTGAAAACCATTATATAAAAATTAAGAAAAAAGAAAATATATTTATGAAAATTTCGACGGAATTCGATTTTCGTCGAAAAATATTATATAAAAATAAATTAAAAAGAAATTATAATTATGAGTTTTTGACGGAATTCATTTTCCATCGAAAAATATTATATAAAAATAAATCAAAAAGAAATTATATTTATGAATTTTCGATGAAATTAGATTTCCATCGAAGATCATTATATAAAAATAAAGAATAAAAAATTTTATTTATAAATTTTTCGACGGAATTCGATTTCCGTCGAAAATCATTATATAAAATAAATAAAAGAAATTATAATTATGAATTTTCAACAGAATTCTATTTCCGTCGAAAACCATTATATAAAATTAAATAAAAAAAATTATATTTATGAATTTTTCTACGGAAATCGATTTTCGTCGAAAATTAATATATAAAAATAATTAAAAAAAAATTATATTTATGAATTTTCAACGGAATTCATTTTCTGTCGAAAAATATTATATAAAAATAAATCAAAAAGAAATTATATTTATGAATTTTTGACGGAAGACGATTTCCGTCGAAAATCATTATATAAAAATTAAGAAAAAAAAATTATTTATGAATTTTTCGACGAATTCGAATTCCGTTGAAAAATTCATTATAAAAATAATTAAAAAGAAATTATAATTATAATTTTTCGACGGAATTTATTTTTCGTCGAAAATTATTATATAAAAATAAATAAAAAATAAATTATATTTATGAATTTTCGACGAAATTCTATTTCCGTCGAAAATCATTATATAAAAATAAAAAAAAGAAATTATATTTATGAATTTTTCTACAAAATTCGATTTCCGTCGAAAATTATTATATAAAAATAATTCAAAAAGAAATTATATTTATGAGTTTTCGACGGAATTCAATTTTCGTCGAAAAATATTATGTAAAAATAATTAAAAAAATTATATTTATGAATTTTCGAAGGAATTTTATTTTTGTCGAAAACAATTATGTAAAAATAAAGAAAAAACAAATTATATTTATGAATTTTTCGACGGAATTCAATTTCCAACGAAAACCATTATATAAAAATAATTCAAAAAGAAATTATAATTATGAGTTTTTGACGGAATTCATTTTCTGTCGAAAAATATTATATAAAAATAAATCAAAAAGAAAATATTTTTATGAATTTTCGACGTAATTCGATTTCCATCGAAAACCATTATATAAAAATAAATAAAAAAATATCTATTTATGAATTTTCAACGGAATTCGATTTCCGTCGAAAATAATTATATAAAAATAAAGAAAAAATAAATATATTTATGAATTTTTCGACGGAATTCGATTTCCGTCAAAAATCATTATATACAAATAAAGAAAAAAAATTATATTTATGAGTTTTCGACGGAATTAATTTTCTGTCAAAAATATTATAAAAAAATAAAAAAAAATTATATTTATGTATTTTCGACGGAATTCGATTTCTGTCGAAAATCATTATATAAAAATAAAGAAAAAAGAAATTATATTTATGATTTTTCGGCGGAATTTATTTTTCGTCGAAACCCATTATATAAAAAATCATGTGTTTTATATTTAATAGGAGCTAATTGAGTTTTATTATGAGTTGTCATTTTAGGCTTTTTGACCCTTTTATCGCTTATTAATTAATTAACAAATATTTTGTCCCTTACTCGGAACTATCTACCAATCTGTCCCTCTTTAATCGATTAACTTGAAGATTTAATCGATTAAATGGTCAAAACTGAAGAAAAAAAATGGTTGACTTGAATATTTAATAGATTAAATCTTCAAGTTAATTGATTAAATCTCTCTCTTAATTTGATTAATCGATTAAAATTTTTATTTAATCGATTAAATATCCCAAATGAGCATGAAAGCATTGATACCAACTTATAAAATGGCAATAAAAAATGAATAAAAAAAGAAAATATATTCATGAATTGTGATTAGTGATAGTGATTGTGATTCGTGTTTGAATGATACATTAATTGTGATTAGTGATTAGTGATTAGTGAATTGTGATTGATACAAATAGAGTATTTCAGTACCCCCATTAATATGACCTTTGCAGCAGTAAATTGTTAACTTGAAGAAGCCATTGGAAAATATGAGTAAGTATTTTTGGTTGGTTGTATAACTTCAGATTATATATTATGTTAGATTTGTTGTGCTTTTCCAATTATTTGTGTTTTAAATATTTTATATGCCTACAGGTACAGTTGCACAACAAGAGGAAAGGGCTGCACAACAATAGAAGAGGGCTCCACAGCAACAGAAAAGGGCTGCAAAACATTATTTTTGTATCTTGTTTGGATGTATATGACTTGGACATAGACTTTTTTCATTAGTATATAACAGAGACTTTTGTACACATAATTATATTAAGATCAACATGAATTTGTTATATTATTTACTGTCTTTATATTTGTTAATCAGGTGCAAAATATAAATAGGTATTAATTTTGTAAAGCAAAATTAAAATAAAATTTGACAAAAAAGCAATTTCGTTGAAAATTAAGGCAATAGTTTTTGACAGAATTTAATTCATTTTTTGTAAAAAATGATTACAAACTTTTTCGACGGAATTTTATTCATTTTCTATCAAAAAATTTCGACGGAATTTGTTTTGCGTCGAAAACTAATACAAGATTTTTTGACATAATTTTATTCATTTTTCGTCAAAAAATTTCGTCGGAATTTATTTTTCGTCGAAAATTAATACAAGATTTTTTGACGGAATTTCAATGATTTTCCGTCGAAAATTTTGGACGGAATCAGTTTTACGTCGAAAACCATTACAACAATATTCGACGGAATTTCATTCATTTTCCGTCAGAAATTTTTGACGGAATTTATTTTCCGTCACAAATTGAGACAAGATTTTTCGACGGAATTTCATTCATTTTTCGTCGAAAATTTTCGACGTAATTATTTTTCCATCGAAACTTCCCACAGAAATTATTCCGTCGAAATTTTTCGACGGAATCTGTAATTCCGTCGAAAAAATTGTTACCCACGAAGATATATTCGACGGCTTCATTTTCGTCGAAAACATCATTTTCGACGGAATTTTAACCATTTTCGACAGAATTTTTCCGTCAAAAAAAACATTTTCTAGTTGTGTTAGTTAATGATTTAGATAAGTATAAGAAATATATAAATCACTCTTTCAATTTAATTATTTAATAAAATAAATATAAAAAGTGACAATAAATAAATACAAGGAATAATATTATAATCTTTTCAATTTTCGTTGAATCCTGTTCGATCCTGGATTGACCGTATTGCTATACCGTGAGGTGTGCACTTAGAGATAGTGTATATCAGGTGTATACTAGGCTTACAGCCGAGGTCCCAATCACTGCGCACAAGCAATAGGCTTATAGCCAAGGGGTGGGTGTGTGCACAGTGTGAGCAGTATCAGTAAATAGGTTAAAAGTGTGTAACTGGGGTTCTTAATCTCTTATTTATAAGGATTACCTTCCTAGGCTTGGGCCTTTTGAGCTCCCCAGATTGCATTAGGGTTCAGCTCCTTTTCTGTTGGGATGTGATCCTTATCTTGTGCCCTTTGACTGTTTAGTGTTGTTGAGATATTCATGAATCTACCTCTTAGTAGATTCTTAGGTGAGTAGTTAGGATATGATATTCATATCCATAACAGTTGCCCCCCAGCTCGGTATTCCGAGGCTTGGAATGCCGAGGTGTTTGCTATGTCATCTCAGATTTGATTCACCCGAGTTCATTCGTTTTGGTATTGCACCTTCGAAAGTTCAGGTCCACCACATTACTCAGAATCACTTTTGCCGAGGTCGTTCGCGTGATGCTTTTTGATCTTCCTTGGTATTGTATGTTGAGATCGATTTCTAACATGTCGGTTTTGCCACGAGTCCGTCTTATGCCTTCAGGCATTGTTTGTTCCGAGTTTCGCCTCAGTAATGTCGGGCCGAATTGAAGTTCTTGGTCATGTTACGACTTTCGGCTTCGACCTCGTGGCCGAGCTCATTTTTTGACCTGCGACATTAAGGCGAGTTTGGAGCTCGGAGCGTGAAGTTTGATCTTATCGCATCAGCTTGACCTTTCATTTCAGGCCCTGCTAAGACGGTTACCACGATCCACGTGTTCTACATCTGTTGGCAGTTTGTGCATCGTGCAGGGCGTGCCATCCTAACTGTGTGCAGGTCATGATTGTGCTTATTAAATGTATGCAAGGGTGATTTTACCATTCGGCCCCTAACTGCTCAACCGTTTGGGGTCCTTTCATCTTCGCGCCTGTGGGTCATTTCCCTTTAAATACCATTTTTCAAAATGGTATAGGAGTTTT